AATTATTAATGTCCCAAATTAATAATATTAGACCAGGGAAAATTAGAATATTATGTTTATTTTAAAGTGTAGCATTCCACAATTAAGTCACATTCTTAATTAGCTACTACACATAATATTCAGGGACTAAATATTAATAAAGAAAACTCACAATAAAAATAACATAAATGAGTTTGTAACTTTATTAATTAATGAGCATTAAATATTCATTGATAAATCATAAACTATGATTGTCCTAGGGCATATTTCCAACACGGAGATCTAGAATAACCCACGCCATGGCAACGCCGGACATAAAGAGAAGAAAAGGAAGTGGGGTAGGGCGACGACAAGGTCCAGGGAGAGGACAACGGAAAAGACGACGTTGCGTGAAGGCAAGGACGATGGTGGTGGTGACGGAAAATGGAGGGTAGGAGGCGACGGAGACGTCCGGGGGAGCAGAGGCAGAGACGGTGTGGTCCTGGGCGGAGGATTGCGGAGGTCGACTGATGATGCTTCTGTGTCCATTCGGAGATGGCTTCGGCGAAGAAAGAAGGCATAGTGAAGATGGACGGGCAAATAGGAAAATGAAGGGATAATGCAATCTCGAAGATGAAGGAAAAGTTCTGGTCCATTTATTAACGGGAAAAGGGTCAAATAGGGCCTCGAACTTACATAAAAAGGTCAAATAAGTCCTTATATAGGAGGTTCTGTCCAACCGTCGCCATTTGGGGCAGTTCCTGGTGGAGTTTTTGATGAAATTTTGTGAGCATCTTATTCATTAAGTCTAGTTTACTCATACCAAATTTCAGCTAACAATTCAATCGGGAAAGCATTCAAATGAATTCTTGAAGATAACTGCACTTTTAACTGTGCACTTATCTTCAAGAATTCATTTGAATGCATTCCCGATTGACGTTTTAGCTGACATTTGGTATGAGTAAACTTAGGGCTGGGACTTTGGAACCAAGAACCGGAGAACCGAACCGGACCGAACCGTTATGACCTGGTTCGGTTCGGTTCCAACATTTATTAGTTATTTGTTAACACTTTGGTTCCTATTTTTTTTATTAACGGTTCGGTTCTCGGTTCCTGAAAAAATATGTACCAGGAACCGTTAAGGAACCGTTATATATAATAATTAAAATAAAATATATTTCTTATGAGTATATATATTTTGGTGTATATTTACTTATTTATTTTTATATTACACTCATTATTTTAGTTTAGTTATTTAACTATTTAAAACTATTATTCACTTCAACGGGTTCTCTTAGGCTACTTAGGCCTCTCATTATGTCCAAACTCCAGCGTGTCGGAACTCGGAAGGTCCAAACTATTTAAAATTATTATTCTCTTTAACTGGTTCAACATATTTGTATTGTAATTTCAAATGTTGAATGTCTTTTTAGCAAAAAATTAGTCGTGATTTGTAAGATTTTTTTCAAAGACTAGGAACCGTTAAATGACAAGAACCGAACCGTTAAGAACGGTTCAGTTCCTTATAGGTTCTATAAAATACCGGAGTAATTTATAATAACCGAACCGTTGGAAAATTTTCATATTTTCAAACGGTTCCACATATTTTGCCTAGGAACCGAACCGGTCTCAGGCCTAAGTAAACTAGACTTAATGAATAAGATGTTCAAAAAATTTCATCAAAAAATTTCACCGAGAACTATTCCAAATGGCGACGGCCGGATAGAACCTCTTATATAAGGACTTATTTGACCTTTTCATGTAAGTTACCCATTTCCCTTTATTAACGTACTCACTTTTTTGTCCAATCCAAAACTAGTCTTATTTTTGTCACTTGAAAAGTCTCCTAGTAATATCTTGGTTATTCTTTCTATGTTAAATATTTTCATTAGAGATATATAATGAAGCATGACTCAATGAAGATTTTAGTTAATTAATTAAAAAGGAGCATTTTATGAAGCCATATATCCAAATTGTGGCTGTCTCCCTTCGTCTAGGGTTTTGAGCTTCTCCACTTCGTCCCCTTCGGTAAGAGCAGCAGTCCAAGTGTGCAGGCGTCATTGTGCTTCAGGTTGAGTCCAAGGGCTCTACTTCTTTGGTCGAGCAGGGTCACTACAAGAAAAAATATTATGTGCGTTCAAAGTATTCTTTTGTCAAAGCCCAATTCAGAATTAGCGAATCTGGTTATTTCTTATGAGGTGGCAGGTTCTAAGTCTGGTTCAAGGGCAAACGGTAGACAATGGGATCTTTATCTGTTTGTATCCTGTTTACTTTCTTTCTTATTAATATAAACCACCTTCTTCCAAAACAAACCGCGAAATTAAAAAGTAGTCTCGTAAAGTCGAGCCTAAGTATAAAATTGACAACTCCGAAAACAGATTCAAAAATGGCTCTGAATGTGGACACAATTTTTAGTAGGGGTGGGCAAGGTCCGAAACGGTCCGGGAAATTAGTAAAACCCGTAATGTATCCGTAAGGTTTCTAATGGTCCGGTACAGTCCGCTTCTAAGGATGGAACCATCCGGTACCATGTCATTTTGGAACGGTACAAAACGGTATGATACAATGTCAAACACGTGCTAAGAAGTTGGACAAATCTTGCAATTAGTAAATAACATCACACCAACCAACTCACATTAAGTGTTGATATAAATAGTAGAAATTGCATACATAGGAGTAAAGTTAACAAATACACAAATAGTGCAACACAACTAAGAAAAAGTATAGCAAAATGATGATACACGAGATAAATATCATCTTTTATTTACTAAGTTCATGTGGAAATATAAAAAGAACATCATTAAGTTGTTCAATATAATAAAAAAATTCAATGTTCTTCTTTTTTGTTCTAGAGGTTAAATATTAGTTCTACTTTGATTTATAGTTAAATCGTGAGAGCTAAGATTTAAACCATATTAATAACCATATTAATTAAGTTGTACAATTTCACAACCATGATACAACAAAAAGTCATATACACTACATTACTAGAAATGAATAGACATTAATGATTTTTAAAACTTTAACATTCTTTCAATACATACCAAAATATAACACAAAATTAGCTAAAAAGAAAAAATAAGAATATACATATAAACACACACAATTAGCTATTTTAGAGATACATGAATACATATTGGGATATAAAATTGTTGGTTTATAAAATATATTTATTGGTATGGAAGAATATATAAAAAAATTCAAATGCATTATTCTTGAACGGTCCGGTCCGGTTCTTTTCGGTTCTCCAAATCTAGGACCGATCTCGTATCCGTTTCAAACGGTACGGTTTCGGTTCGGGAAAAAAATTTACAGAACCATTTGAATACCCGATATTCGGTTCGATACCATTACGGGCCGGTTCGGTACCGGTTCGGTTCGGATTTTATGTCTACCCCTAGTTTTGGAAAAAGGGTCAAATAAGCCCTCTTACTAATATCTAACCACCACTTAAGCCCATCTACTAAAATAAGCATCACATAGACACATTTACTATCAAAAAACCATCAATTAGGCCAACTAACCTAATAGCAACCTGCAATATCAGATCATCCAGCCGTTGCTCCTTTCCACCCGTTTTCTTCATTTCTTTGTTCTACGGTGTTTGTTTTTTCTTTTTTTTTTTTGGGTTTATCTTCATTGCCACTTTCATTTTGTGTTACCTCCTAAAGAATCATTTTTGTTTTTCTTTTATTCCTCGTTTCTATTTTTGTTTTTGTTTTAATTATTTTTAGCCTTTTCTTTTTCTTCTTCCTCCCTTATTGGGATGTATTTAATTGAACTGTTTTCAGCCGCAAACAAGACGACGTCCTTGTAAGGTGTTAGAGACGGTATAATATAGCTCATTCCGTCGATCCAACTCGAATTTTTTGGGTCTTTAGTTATATGGGCCGTGGGTTATTTCATTGTTGGGTTAAGTTTTGCTCTCTATAAATACATATTCTCTCCTTGTAATCATCATCAGAAAAATAGTAACATCCTTGCTTGGTAGCGTCCTCAGACGTAGACATTCTTGGCGAACTGGGTCACCAAATTCTCGTGTCTTTCTTATTATTTTTCGTATTGTGTGTGTTTAAATCCTAACAGTCCTCACATTAGGCTTGAACAGATCATATCATATTAGACTTAAATAATAGTAAATACACACAAATCAAATGTATACTAGTTTAGATCTGAAAATATTTAAATAGACAATATCAGGAATTTTTTGTCCAATTTAAAACATGTTTTGCCTCTCTTTCTGTTGTATTATGCCTCCCTTCAACCGCCAAATCACATACTTTTGTACACATTTTCAAAATCTTTCGTGCTAACAATTTTTGGGATTGAAGAAAAAACAGTAAAAAAAAACTAAATTTACAAAGTCCTTTGTACCAATAATTGTTACTCCGTATTTGTTAAGTTATAGCATAAACAAAAACTATTTAAAAATCCGATTTTACAGAAAAATATAAATATGAGATTTTTTGAAAATGTGAACAAAATGTATACAAATTTTTTCTAGCATATACTCCCTCCGTCCCGAAAACAACTTCCCGGTTGGACTTTCACACACTTTTAGGAAAAAAAATTGACTTTACTGTAGAATGCACTGTTTTGCAATGTTTAAACACTGTTTGGCACTGTTCAAACACTGTTTGACACTGTTTAAACACTGTTTGACACTGTTTATCACTTTTTTTATGTAGATAATTTGCCAAATAAGGAAAGTATTGAAGTATGAAGTCAATTTTGGGACATCCGTTTAAGGAAAGTAGGAAGTTGTTTTCGGGACGGAGGGAGTATCATTTTTTATCAGAGCCACACTATTATTGTCTATAAAATGCTAAAATTTTAAATATCATTAATGATTTAATTTCTACGTGATGTACAAAGTATATGACTTTTTAATTTGTTATACTCCTTCCCTCCCATATAATTGTTCAAGTTCCTTTCACTCTTAATTTACTAGTACTTTATAAGAAGTACGTAGTATATCATTTTTGTATCAACCAAACATTTCAGCCCAGCCCAGATAATGAATGGATTGAATATTAAAAAATGTACTGATATAATTGGATAAGAATGAGAGCGAATCTTCTAATTTGGATTTCCTGCTCACCCCCCCTTTCTCCCACTGTATCTTAGCTATGGAGAAGTCTGGGTATGGTCGTGACGGAATCTACCGATCCCTCCGGCCGCCGCTGAGCTTCCCCAGGGACCCCAACCTGTCAATGGTCTCTTTCATGTTCCGGAACATCTCTCAGTACCCTGACAAACCGGCCCTCCACGACGCCGATTCCGGTCAGACGTTAACTTTCGAGCAGATGAAATCCGAGGTCTCCAAAGTTGCTCATGGCATGGCGCACCAACTGGGTATCAGGAAAGACGACGTCGTCCTTATCTTGTCCCCCAACTCTATCCAGTTCCCTCTTTGCTTCTTCGGCATCATAGCAGCCGGCGCCGTTGCTTCGACGGTGAATCCTGCGTATACAGTTCCAGAGCTTTCCAAACAGATCAAGGATTGTAGCCCGAAGCTCATCGTTACTGTACCCCAATTGCTCGACAAAGTCAAAGGGTTCGATTTGCCCGTTTTGCTTCTGGGTTTTGAAAACAGCAACCATTCGGGGATCAATTCCTACCCGAGCCTTACATTTTACACAGACCTGGTAAAAAATGCAGGTTCATTGGATTTCGATCGCGTTCCTATAAAGCATAGCGACACAGCTGCGCTGCTGTACTCTTCTGGGACGACGGGGATCAGTAAAGGCGTTGTCCTTACGCATAGGAACTTCATTGCATTGTCTCAGATGATAACGGCAGATCAGGACGCGGCGGGAGAAATGCACAATGTGTTCTTGTGCGTATTGCCTATGTTTCATGTGTTCGGGCTTGCGATTATCGTGTATGCGCAGTTGGTGAGGGGGAATGCTGTGGTTATCATGGAAAGATTTGACCTGGAGATGATATTGAGAAGTGTGGAGAAGTACAGAGTGACGAATTTGTGGGTTGTGCCTCCCATCATACTGGCCTTTGCAAAGAGCAGTGCGGTAAGAAAGTATACCTTGACATCATTGAAGCAGATTGGGTCCGGGGCAGCACCCCTTGGGAAAGATTTGATGGAGGAATGTTCCAAGAATTTCCCCCAAGCTGCTTTAATTCAGGTTTTTCTTACATTACCCTTGAGTGAAATTTGTAATTAATTTCAAGAATCTAATATGGTATTTCACTTTTGAATGTTTGGAGGTAAGATTCCCACATTTAAAAACTTAGGAGAGGTATATGCATTGTAAGACTTTGAGTTAGACCACTTAGAACCAATATTTTGATTTTGTTTGACCTATGCAAGTGATCCATCAAATAGATTCACAATGTTCATGTTATGTGGTTGAGAGAGAATAATCAGAATGATCAGTTTAGATATAGATTAGATTCATTTTTTAGTTTAGTTGGATGTACAGTATGACACACTTCACAAGATATTGAGTATTCATATCTTACGGGTTCAAATTGCTATCAATCAGTTATGACATTATGTTCAAAGTAAACAGGTTGTCACCTGATGCATAAGGTACAAATAGTTTTATTCAATGGTAATGCTTCAGTTAGACTAGACTCACTAATAGAATGGATTTAACTTTTTTAATGTGGTTTGACCCATGTGCATCATGTTTTGACCCACTTGAAAAATTCCTCCGAACCATAAGATCATCTTAGTTAGGGATTGACTCATTGAAGAATGATTTGCTATAAGGAAGCTGTTTCTATTTGCAGGGGTATGGGATGACAGAATCTTGTGGAGTTATCTCGTACGAGAATTCAAGTATTGGTAAAAGAAACTCAGGGTCAGCCGGAATACTTTCTCCCGGAGTAGAAGCTGTAATAGTTAATGTTAGCAATCACCAGCGTCTCCCTCCTGGTCAGTTGGGAGAAATTTGGGCACGGGGTCCTAACATGATGAAAGGTGTTTTACTCTATTTATTACTCTGTATATTAGTCCATTTTCTGTCCCTCTTCTGCCGTTATAATAGGACATTTATAATGAATAATCATCATATTAATAGGCAAATCTGCTTTCACTAACCTTATCACTCTGTTTATTTTCAGGTTATTACAAGAATCCAGAGGCTACCAAGCTTACAATAGATAAACAGGGTTGGCTCCATACAGGAGATCTTGGATACTTTGATGAAGAAGGACAGCTATATGTTGTTGACCGTATCAAGGAGCTCATTAAGTATAAAGGTTTTCAGGTATGTTTTATTTTGTTTTTGTGAAATTTATATGTTAAACTATTAGTTGCAAACTATAATTGCTCAGACAACCAATTTTATTTTCGCTACTGGCGCTTCAGTTATCTCTTTCTTTGCTCAATTTCTTTAGGATATGTTGTGGATCCAGAAAGCACTAGGGAAAGGATAGAAAATGCAAAAGAATACGTAGTATTTTTTTACGCTTTATTTTCACTCGGGAAAGGCAGAGGAAAATGAAATTCAATTAGTTTTTATTTTTATTTTTTAACATATGTTTTAGATTTCATAGTATTTATATAGTAGAAATAAGTTTAAACAAATAATAAACAAAATTTATTCAATTTGAACCGATGTTTTGTTTCCACAACAGTTTCTTTCCTTTCTAATTTCATCTTGGATTCCTCCACATTTTCTTTCCCTAGCATTTATCATTCGAAATGGACCCATAGAGTATGTTTGGATTCTGCAAAGTATTAGGGAAAAAAAGTGCTATGTAAAGTTGTTTTCTTATATTTATTATAACCTGGTGAAATGCAAAAGAAAAAGAAAATGTAGAGTGATTAATTATTCTAATATATTTACATATGTTTAAATTCCACTAGATAAATACACAACAACAACATTGCCCCAGTGTACGCAGCCTTACCCTGTATTAAAATGAGTTTAAACAAATAATAACTGCAAATTTATTGAATTTTGATTCAATATTTAATTTGCAACATCATTTTAACTTCCTAATTTTGTCTTAATTTCCTCTCCGTTTTCTTTCCTCGGCATTTTCCTAGTTCCTAACAAACCCTTAGAGTGTCTTGATTCTGAAAAATGTTATGGAAAGGTAAAAAAGTGCTAAAAAGTTGTTTTCTTATGATTAGTTTAAGGAAAAATTGACAAGAATAATCCCACCTTTCACTGGTCTTCTCATAATAATCTCACCTTTAAATAATCCCAAAATAATCCCACCTTTGCACCTCATCTTCTTTCATTGGACCCTGACCATGTTTTTTACTCTTTCTTTGAAAATTATACAAATAATCTCACCTTTCACTTTTTAAGTATATCCTTATAAATGTGAGATTATTTATATAAGATTTTTAAAAAGGGTAAAAAACTTGGTCAAGGTCCAATGAAAGAAGATGATGTGCAAATGTGGGATTATTTTGGGATTATTAAAAGGTGGGATTATTATGAGAAGACCAGTGAAAGGTGGGATTATTCTTGTCAATTTTTCCTTAGTTTAATCATGGAAATGCAAAAACAAAGGAAAATTAATCAGTTTTCTAAACATATATGTAGATTTAAAACTGTTATTCTCGATATAATAGACATTGTTAGATAGAGCACAACACTAGATATAATATTAGTGTCCTAAACTCCTAATCTTAGGTTTCCCCAATCCGTAACTGTATTTTCATGGGTTGAACCTATTCTTGCGCGCACACAAACACACACACACGTATGCACACACTTATAGGGAACGGTTAATATTTTATTTACATTGAGGTTTGATTTTATAAATGAGAATTTTAATCGTTAGACTCCACGTTTCATTATTCTAATCAATGGTTGTTAAAATTGACAAATTGTTTTTATTAATTATTTTAGCAAATAGCCACAGTTTGAATTTAGAATAATTACAAAAAAGGCCCTTTCAAAAAAAATTACAAAAAAGGCACTATATGATTGATAGCCATTGACTGAACAACATGAAAGACGGGGATTACAAGTTCTCATAATAAAGTGATCTCATTGTGAGATTGTTCTACACAAATGAACCCTCCCTGCAGGTACACACACAACATTTTGCTTTTGGCCCAAATTATTTGAAGACCCTTTTTATTGCTCATTAGCATCAACTATTAATATTAACTGATATATGATTTTGTAAATTCAATGTTACTGAAGATAAAACCTATTATAATTATGAATTAGTTTAAATTGTGGAATAATGTGTGGTGGTGAAAAGTAAGCATCTATTGTTTTCGCACAAATAGAACCCTCAGGTACGCTTTTTTAAACAAAGATCATAAGAATTTTTTAAATCACCAAATGCAAATCCATGTTTGTGTCTCTATACTTCTCCACAAGTTGCATAAGAAGGTAAATGACCTTAGTTGTTGAGCGACCATGCATAAAATTGAATTCATTCTCCGAAATCATCACACTTCTTCTGAGCCTTTACTCAATTACTTGTTCCCAAAGTTTCATGATGAGACTCATAAGTTTAATACCTCGTTATTTGGTAAACTTTTGTACATCACCCTTGTTCTTAAATAAAGTGATAAGAGTATCCTTTTGCCAAGTCATTCACATTTTGTTGGTTCTCCAAAACTCATTCCAGAAATGTGTTAATCACTCGGCACCTCTCTCTCCCAAATTGCTCCAGGCCTTGATCGGTATGCCATCTAGATTCACGGCTTTCTTCCTCCTTATTTGTTTAGAGCTTCTTTAACTTCTATCGTTTGTAATTCTCATAAAACTCCAATTCTCCATACAATTTGATATAGCAAGATCATCAATGTCTTATGCTTTATTCCTATTGAATAATGTACCAAAGTAATATCTTCACCTCTCTTTTAGTTATTAATCCTTCATTAGTACTCTTTGATTGACATTCTTCACACACTTAACCTTTTAGATATCTTTAGTCTTATGATCACGAAGACGAGCAAGTCTATAAATATACTTTTCTCCTTCTTTAGAGTCTAATTTTACATATTACTCCTTAATCACTTTTCCACGTGCTTCCTACATGGTTCTCTTAGCTTTTCTTTTGGCCTTCTTGTAATCTATGTTCTCATCACTCCAACTTTTCCTCAAAATTTTGTAACATTGCATTTTATTCCTTATAAAATGGGACTTGCATCACAAAAAACTGATCTCATCACAAAGTTATTGCTTACAAACATAAGTGAACAAAATGAGTATCAAGCCAACAACAAATGTTTAAAATAATTTATTGAGTGTTACTTTATCTTTTATTTTCCGGGCCTTTTCCCCACAGTTTGTTTTCATCCCATTCCCCCCTTTATTTTTTTCTTATTTTCTTTGCTGATATTTTTGAGGATCCAAATGGATCCTTTCCCTTTGGTGATCTTCTCACCAGGTCGCGCCTGCAGAGCTTGAAGGTTTGCTTGTTTCTCACCCCGAAATCCTGGATGCGGTCGTCGTCCCGTAAGTTGCACCTTTAACAACTCGTAGTTTTACTGTAAAGCCTCTTTAGTAATGCAGACCTAGTTGAGTTGTATTACCTAATGATGCATTCATGAGCTACTGAGTCAAGCAAACCGCTCCTTTCGTTGAATTAATGATTAGTTTTAAGTGAATGCTTAACTTGTGTTTAGAGAAAGTTTCGTTTGTCACTATTATGAATAGAATGATATTTTGCTGCTTTCTAAAGCCAAGTGGGGAAAATAGGATTACTCCATCTATGTGAAAAAGAATCTTGTTTTGTAGTACTGATATGAGTATTAAAAACAAGTCTCTATTTTGAAGATGGTTGTAGTGTATTTTATCTGCTCCTGCTGAACTTTTTCTTCTGTATCCGCCCCTGATAGCTATCCAGATACTGAAGCTGGTGAAGTCCCAGGTGCATTTGTTGTGCGTTCTCCGAGTAGCTCTCTGAGTGAAGAAGATGTCAAAAAGTTTATTGCAGATCAGGTATTATCATTGTTGTTGTTATTATTATTTGGTAAAAGTCATTTCATGCATATCAAATTGGGACAAAAGTATATTTTAGTGGCAGAGTAACCGATACACTCTAGAGAAAATGTGGCACAATATTATAAGTTGGTGGGCTTTCATTTAAGAAGCATTTCATGGGAAATTTTTGACAAACATGACTGAATATGTTGCAGCAGTTGCAAACTCACAATCCTACCCCTGGTTAAATATTTTTGTGTTGGGGTCAATTGAGTGCATATATTGTTTGCTGTATTAATCACCACAGTCATTCTTTGTGCAGGTTGCACCATTTAAGAGACTGGTCAAGGTAACATTTATAAATAGTGTCCCAAAATCTGCCTCTGGGAAAATTCTCAGACGGGAACTGATTGAAAAAGTTCGAGCGAAATTATGATCTCACAGAAGTTGATTGTTTCATGGAATATGTAGCTGAAGGCGACTATTAAGTGTCTGGCCCTAACTGAGCTTGGAACCTTGGACAACGGTCACATACATCCAGTAGTTGGCCTTTTACACGCTTAAAAATATACTAGTTTTTATACTCGTATGCTTGTTGCTCGATTAGGTAAATGCCCGATATTATTATGTATATAGATTGTACTTGTAGGGCTAGTTATGAAATTCAAACTCCATGCAGAAAGAACGAAAGTGAAATAAAGTTTGAAGTGAGAAGAAAAAGTACAACCATTTTTTACACTACATACACCCACACACAATGAAGTCATATTACATGTAAAGCAAAACCTAAAACTACATTCCAGGATTTTAGAAACTGACATCATTTTAATTTGGCAGGCTTTTACCGTATTAACCATGTTTCTAACAAAAACATATTCGATTCATAACATAAGCAAAAGATTAATACGTAGTAGAGAAAAGGGTCAAATAAACCCTTTTACTAATTGTTGAAATTATCTACTTGTCATATTAGTAACTAAGGATGTTTTTACTTGGACTGTAATTTGCTGGTCTGGTCTGAACTGGTCTGGTCTGGTTTCTTTGTATTTTTATAACTATCCAAGTCTGGTCTGGACTGGTCTGGTCTGGGGCAAATTATAGTCCAAGTAAAAACATCCTAAGTAACCTATTCAGCCGGTAAAACCATATGTATAATTTTAAATGTCTGGTCAACTCATTTTACACATTTAGCCTTCAACATTTTTTTCAGTTCTTTCTTTTCGTTTTTTTCTCGGATTCCTTTTGCTCGTTCTTCTCTTCTCCCTAACCTAATACTACGTATATTGCCATATTAAAAAATAAAGTAACAAGGCAAATTAAAGAACATAGATAGAGATAAATTGAGCGAAGTTGTGCACGCCATTGAAGCACTTGTCATTTCCTCCCTCAGACACTGGTATTGCCATATTGGTTCTTTGCCATTGAAGCACTTGTCATTTCCTCCCTCAGTCTCAGACACTGGTATTGCCATATTGGTTCTACTGGACACCCCATTTGAAGAAGGGAGAGTCGGTTTCACTGCAAATCCCGCCCCCGCCAATAGCCCGGAACAACCAAATTAAAGCGGGAAGATATAGTGACGGAGCTAAGGAAACATTTCAGTAAAATCTTACCTCAATATTTACTGCTAGCCAACATCTTCTATTCCGGAGATGCTTAGAGCTAAGGAAATTAAATACTCCCTCCGTTTCATTTTCTTTGGCATAGGCTCTGTTTGTTTAATGGCGGGTGGATGCCAATCCGCTACATCATGCAGTGTTTTCATTTGTAAATTTTCGGCGGATCGAGGAAAACTGCCAGCATCCAAACGGGCCCATAGTTTGACATGTCAACATTTAAGGATTTTTTTTACTTAGGGGTAAATTTTACTGTTTGAACACTGTTAGGACACTGTTTGGCACTATCTGAACACTGGGCTCGTTTGGTAGTTTACACTTTAAAACTTTACATGCAAAATGATTGCATGTAAAGTTTAGGACAGTAAAATAGTTTGCATGTAAAATAAAAATACATTGTTTGGTTACGTGTGCAATCTATTTTTAAATTACACGCAAACTCTTTACATTCTTTGATTGAAAAATAACTTTACATGCAAAATATGTAAAAAATCACTAGATCGTCTATTGACCTACTAAATCAGTGCTCTTATCGTCAATCATACCAAAAGCAAGCAGCCAGAAGAAACCAAACAATACAGGGGGTGTTTACACATTTGAATGGATGAAAACAAGGTATAGAAGGCAGAACCATATAAATAATATATACCGGAGTATATATATTATATATACGTACATATATACGGAGTAATATATATTACTCGTATAGAATAAGGAGACCAACGCAGATGGAGAAGAGATGTGATGATGATTGACGATTTGATTGGAGAAAAAATTAGTTTTTTGCAGCCAAGAATTTTTCCTTTGCCGCCGCCATGATTTTTTGCTTTACTGTCGAACCAGTTTCTAAAGCCTAGGTTGTAGTCGTAAAAAGATTCTCCGTATTTTATAATCCTTAATAACGGGTGTAAAATAGTTTACTACCCTCCCCCCACGTAAAATACTTTACACGGTACAGTGTAAAATGTTTTAAAAAAAGTGCCCTACAGTTTACATTAAATATTTAAAACAAACGGTGTAAAATGATTACATCCTCACACTTTGCATGCAAAATGTTTACTTTACACCGTACCAAACGGGCCCACTGTTTGGACACTGTTTGGCACTGTTTGGACACTGTTTGACACTGTTTTGCACTGTCTAGTACTGTATTGTTTACCAAATGGGAAGTGTGGCATTCATTTTGAAACGTCCAAAAAAGAAAAGTGTGTCAAAGAAACTGAAACGGAGGGAGTAGAAAATGAAGACGGAGGCATCTGCTGTTGACCAAGAAACAGAAAAGGAAGAAGGAATAGACCAAAAAAGAAGAAAAAGAAAAGAAAAAACAGAGAAAGTAAAAGAAAGGAAAATAAAATTGGGGATAAGCAAACAACCTACTAAATCAGGTCGCTTTCAGGTCAAATGGTAAAAAATAAAAATGACTACTTTTGATGAGTAGATAGATGAATATGATACATATTTTAGTACATGGACCTAGGTGATTATTTGAAGATAGTACAAGGGTTTACATGATCCTTTTCTCATACTTAGTACTCCCTCCGTCCCAGGGAGAAGTTCCCGGGTTGACTTTCACACACATTAAGAAAATAAAGTTACTGAGGGGTAAATTTTACTATTTGGCACTGTTTCGACACTGTTTGGCACTGTTTCGACACTGTTTGGCACTGTTTTGATGTAGGATAACTTTCCATTTAGAGAAATGAGAACTTTTTGTTGGGACTGGCAAAAAAGGAAAGTGAGAACTTGTCTCTGGGACGGAAGTAGTATTTAATAACCAGATTATTAAATAACAAAGAAATTGGTTTTATAAAATAGAAATACTGGGTATATGTCATGGACTTGTTCACTTAAGAAGATCAAGTGCGTCCTTAGCTCCTTTTTTGCCCCTTGTAGTGAGGATACTTGTTCTCTTAACATATTGCTTATAGCCTTTTTTATAATTGATACGTGGAATGCACGTGTTTGCATTTTTCTACTCAAGAAAAATCTGAATTATAACGATACATCCAGAATAATCTTATTCTGAATGTTAAGTCATAAAAAAAGCTTTACAAATCAATTCAAACCACGGGTACCTACAAGAGAAGCACAACGTTAAAAAGAAGAGGTGCAAACTTCTTATTAATCCATCGTTACTGTTAAATGGTTTTCTATATTTAACACATGATGATGTACTCATATGTAGGGTTATAAACGAATCAAATAATTTGTGCTCGATTCGCGATTCGAATTCGTATAAGACGATTCGAATTTGCAAAATTCAAATACAAATAAGAATATTAAATTTGATTCGAGTTGTTATCAAATACAAATAAGAATATCAGTGTATTCGATTCCAATATTAATCAAATATATTCGATTAATAATAGTGGTAATATTAATATCAATACTAATAATAATAATAATAATAATAATAATAGTAATAATAACACTGTAATAACTTTTAAAAGATATCAATATTTTCAACGTGTAGCCCATATATACATTTTTGCATACAGATTTGAAGCCTATTTGTAATAAACCAGAATATAAATACGAATACAAATCAATTTTTTGGTTCAAATGTCTTTCAAATACAATACAAATAATTATGTATTTGATTTGAATAATAAAATTAGAGTTGTTGGACTTTGATATATACAATCGGCAACTTATTTCACGCATTATAAGTATAATTTCTAATATGTGTGTGTTAGTGTTTTTTCAAAAGGTTTGCAATAGATTTATATTTATTAATCATAAAATTAATTCACTTTAGTATATTGTGCATCATCTAAAAATGCATTGATCCATTAAATTTAAATTCTAAGAACACATATTAAGTCATAGCATGCATTTACAACATAAACAATACGGAGTATAAGAAAAGTTGTTTTAAAGTGATACTCCGTATTTGACTAATATTTAACCTGTGCTCAAATCGATTCGATATTCGTATATAATTCGTTAACTATGCGTATTGTTAAACAAATATAAATACAAATCGAAATTAATATTCGTTTCATATTTGAATTCGAATTCGTATTCGAAAATATTAAACAAATACAAATACAAAATCTCATTACCCATACCAAATTTCAGCTAAAAATTCAAGTGGGAAGGCAGTCAAATGATTTTCCAAAATGTTCTGCGTTGTTTACCTTCGCAGTTATCTTCAAAAACTCATTTGACTGCCTTCCCAGTTGACTTTTTAATTGAAATTTGGTATGAGTAAAGTAGACTTAATGAAGAAGATGCTCAAAATATTTCATCAAAATATTCCACCAGGAACCGCCCCAATTGGCGACGTCCGGGCAGAACCTCCTATATAAGGGGCTAATTGAACACTTTAATTCAGTTCAAGGGCCTATTTGACCCTTTAGCCTATTTTATTCTTAAATGTTGATGAGGCATGATAAATCCGTATTTAGACACACATTTGATGCGTGTTGGGATTGGATTTTGATGGTTTTCCTAGCTTTAAGGTGTTGCAAGTCTCAATTTTAGCTCAAGTTATGTTTACCAGACGTTGGTTCGAGTTTTGTGTCATTTGGAGTCAATATCAGGATTTTAAAGTTCGGCACCGGCGCTTGAGAAGAAATCGGGATGAGTTGAGAAGCATTAGAGAGTGATTTGAGAGCTTTGGAGGTCACCGGGAGGTTCGCGATGAAGATTTGATGACAAAAGAGCTCTAGGATTGGCTTCGGGATCAAAAGAAGATGAATGAAGCTTGAAAACGACGATCAGGATGACCTTCTGTCAATCGTTCAAGCATATCTCTTTGTAGAAACAACCAATGGACACGATTCAAGTTGAATATAAAAGCTAACTTCAAGGGATACAAATCATATGAAGACACCATTACGAGAATATGAGAGCAAGAAGGTGAAAACAGACGATGAAGTCAGATGATCTCTGCTGCGATTTCAAAATGACACCTTCCACCGTTTTGATCATATCTCTTGATTGGATGATTCAAATCACATTCGGCAAATTGGGGTGGATAGAGCACTTCATTATCTACAACTTCCATGAAGGAAGTTTTGTGAAATTCGGAAGTTTGACGCACGCCGTTCGTAGGGGAACGCACGCTCGTGCGTCCGAGGCAAAAACGGAAGAAAGCCACTGCCACGTACGCACTAT